CGTTGTGGATATGTTCGCTGGTTCAGAACAAGTTCAATAAGGTACCTCACTTGTTTTTTCAATGAACTAATAGACAAGATTTTAACTTTTTTTTCCTTTTTTTTAATATATATTTTTGGTCTTTAAATAGTCTAATCTACGCTATCAATGTATTGTATTGTTTTGTTGATTTCAGGTTTTGAATTTTGCGGTGCTTTTGAAGGTTTTGGGATTTGGGTTTTGTGAATAGAGTTAATTTGTTGCTTCTTGCTTACTCGAGAGTATATAATAGTGAAAATGACTTGATTATCTGGATTTTGGATGTTTGAAACCAAGGTTACGAGAAAGTTTAGTCCGTAGTTTCATGAAGAATTGAATAAGAAGAAATATTCCTTTCTGTAAGCGTATTAGAAAGAAAGAATTTAGCCTACAGTTTATTGCTCATTGAAATGCTGGCAGCAGATTTATGAAAAATCTGTCTGCTTTTTGTCTTTATCTTGCTTCCTTGAATGGAATTTATCTGGTGATAATGCCTATGAGAATTTTAGCCCACTTGGCCAATAACGATTTTGACTAATTTGAGGATGGGCGAATTTCTCTTGTGAATTGGCCTTATGGCCGGTTGGAACTCAATATCAGGGGAAACGATGTTCCCTGCTCGGAGGATTTTCAGTTCATACAATTACGTTCTTATGTGAGAGTCGGTTGTCACTTTCTGACATTTGCCCCTTGATACAATATTTACAATTCAAAGAAGATAAAGTGAGAAAAAGAATGTGACAAGTTTTTGAATTCTTGAAGTCATGTTCTACACTCTCTAATTTCCTCCATAAGTTCTTTGATTTCATTGCAATTTGCAACATCTTTTGCTCACTGAATGTTGGACTTTTTTTATGTTTTTAGTGTACCTTATTTCAGTTCCATCGATGTTCGTTCTTGCCTTGTCTTTGGGAACTTGTAGAATCAATTTTCGTTCTTTCGCTTATTCGTTGCTTCATGTTCTTTATTTCTTTATGTGATTTCCAGGTTTTTGAACATTCCCATACACAAATAGGCGGATACAAAGACACACTTTTATAGGCACATACATACCCAATGCTTAAATTTACTTCTCTTCTTGGTTAAGACATTTTGAGTTTCGATTCCAAACTTTTCAAAATTCTGCATCCTTTAAGGGGCTAAATCGATCTCTGAACGCTAGAAAGAGTTCGCAATAGCTTTATCAGTTATCTTGTTTATTTCGCTCAATCTTACTTTATATTGACATTACATGCCAAGATGGTTCTTCAGAAATTAAGTAAAGGAACAATTTCATTTGAAGGCCTTATACATACAATAGTTGAGTGGGGTTTATGTTTTTTGAGTTGCTTTTTAAGTTTTACGGTTTTACCTACATGTACATTTAATATGAAGTTCGTTTGCCTTGTATCTGTTTGCATTTTTATCTGCTTATAATCTTGGCTGTTCTATTTTATATAAAGGGATAAGTAAAAGCACTGTTGGCGGTTGAAGTTAAATTTTGAGCTGATGATGCTTGAAATATGGTTGAGACTTATATTATTTTGCGGAATTTTCTCCAATGCT